ACCCTACAATTGCAAATTAGATCTAATGCTTCATTTGGAATTCGTCTTTCTTATTGAAGTACAACTAGTATTTTCCAACTTTTTTTTTATAGTCATCTGATAATTGAGAACCTTATACCTGTAAGTAAATATGCCGAGAGTTGATTTTGAAGTCGCATCGCTCCGTCCCGTCTATTGTCGTTGTGATGAATGTTTTCTGATCCACGAAACAATAAACTCACTTCTCTCTATATATATTGGACGCTTCGCCGAAACTGGTAGAACCTCCGAGATCGTATAAAGCAGGAGTTCCCAAACCGCGGCCCGCGGGCCAAATCCGGCCCACATAACGATTTGAAATGGCCCGCCGAACTTAAGTGTAGGCTTAGAGATATCAAAAGGCAAACGAAAACTAGACGCTGAAAACGGACGTTTCTTGGATAAATGTCAGTGTTCGTATTTCTACATTGGAAAGAATCAGACTCCAGCGATTTGTCTTCTTTGCCAACGAACTATTCCAGTTTTGAAGGAATACGACATTAAACGCCATTATAAGTCGAACAAACATGTTTTAAAAAATGTCAAATGAAAACGAATCCACAGAACCCCAGCTAAACTGTCGCGTACTTTCGGGCGCTACACTCTTCCGGCCCGCGAACACCCTTCCGATTCTAATTTTGGCCCGCGGCTAATAAAGTTTGGGAACCCCTAGTATATAGCTTCCTCCACCACCGTCATAACGTACTTAAACTGGTAACCGGCCTACAGCCCGGCTATCCATATGATTAAAATGAAATCATATCAATATATTTGTACATTTCTCCAAACAGCGGATTGCCCATGTCCTCAATAACTGATTCAAATATTCTCGGTGGTGTGGCGAATCGTGCTAAGCGTGGCCCCCGTACTTTTGATTACTTTGCTTGGGTTTGCATGTTCGAATCCCGTAGGGATAATTATGTGCGAGAGGATTGCTGAACTCCTCGCCTCCGAGCGTAGTAACTACAGGCTGTGGTACGATTAAGCCCTCTTATCCTTTTCCTCCTCACCGGGATAAATAGCAGAGCTAACACGTACCACTTCTTTTGACAACATTTTCCAATCTAAAATCTGTACGGTACGTTTTATTTATTACCTATCGGTATGTATGTTGATAGGTATTTGTCTGTTTGTTTGTTTATCCGTTAGATACACGCGATATCTCACGAAAGTGAGGTTAAATCTGCTCCAAATTTTACATGTGCATTAATCATATCTCAGACCAGAAGCCTATTGATTTGATGAAATATATCGTATAATTAGTTCGGTATTAATTAATTAGCGATGAAGAGATCTAAGAGGAAGGATTTAAATATTTATCCCGGAGGAGAAGAAAGGCGACAAGACGGCTTAATCACATGGCAAACTAAGGCCTCTCGCCCGGTTACCGGTCCAGGTCGGGTATGGGATCAGTTAGCCAGTTATTTGTTTTAGGAAGCATGGATTTGATGGTGGAGGAAGCCGTAACCGACCAGCAGTTACGTGAACCACCCTACGGCGGCGAGGAGTCCAGCAATCCTCTCGCACATGATCATCCCCGCATGGGATTCGAACCTGCGAACGCACGAAGGGTAATCAGAGATACGGTGGCAAGCGTATTCCAAACGCTTAGCACGATGCTCCACACCGCCGAGCCGATCGAGATTTTCGCAAAGTGATAAAACGTGTATGACCTAGATTTTTGGGGCGATACCGCTAGCGCGCATGTGTTGAGTGTGTGTACGCCATTGGATCGATAAGTCTCCGGTCTCTGATGGCTATCTCGTTTTGTTTTTGTCAATCATCTTATCGTCTTTGATGCTTATTATGGAGTCAAAATAAACATGTAAACCCTATCCGGACTTGCAACCGGATATATATTCTCATTAGGCTATAGTCCCTTTGAGTCACTCCAAAGTGTTGTAGACTTATCCTAATCTCATTACCTATATATACTTAACTTATACTTAAATACATGAAATATCCGTACTAGTCTTGACAGTGTATGAAAATGAATGTGCACAGATTTGTTTTTGGCACCAGTACAGGTATCGTCATTTTTTCATTGGAATAGGATTTGGTATTGGTACAGTCGTACGTACCGGTACCGGTACTGTCTGACCGTAGCGTACCGTACGGTATTTGATCAGACATACAAACTTAAATCGGAACCTCGTAGTACGTGCTCGCTGTCGTTCTTGCAGTGCAGGTTTTTGTATTTTTTACAAGATTGCAAAATAAAAGAGTACGATAAAAAAGCGCTTTCATGAAAATAAATAAGTACGGTACGGTAATACTGTAATATGCATAAATAAAAAATGAGTATTAAAAACTCCGGTACCGTAACTAACAGAAAGTGTGAACGACTAAATACTGAAATACAGAAATAGTCAACTACCGGTATCGATATTGTAGTTTTGCGGTATAGACTGCCGTACTGCTGTACCGGTACTGTATTATACAACTTAAAAAAAACTGAGGAATTAAACAAATGAGTAGAATAAGCGGGTCTAGTATAGTTTAGTACCACAAGTACGGTACCGGTACCGGTACTTCCAGTGGGCGTAGCATAACGAATTTTGCATATGTTATTCCTAATGCCCACCTGACTATGCAATCCAAAAATTACGTCACTACGATGTCACCATCACGTCATAGGGATTGCCAAAGTATAATTACGATCGCCCGAAATGACATCTGCGCCGCCGATAACGAACTTGCTAACGCCGGCAATCTCTCTCCTATCGTGATCGTTGTGACGAGAAAACAAGAGAAATTGCCTGCTCGGGTGATCGTCTGCGCGTTTTGGACGACCATCCGCATACTTCGGTGGGCCTTATTACGCCACTGTGACGTCGAAATGACGTAATTTTTCGGTGACGTAGTCAGGTGGGGGTTAGGATTGACATATGCAAAAATTGTTGAGCCAGGTCAACTAGAAGTACACGTGGTACTAAACTATACCAGACCCGAATAAGCAACTAAAAATACACGAAATTTAGTTAAGTTTGTGTTTTTTTAGTTTCTTTTACAGTCCGGGTTCCTTCAGATTGTTGGATTGAGGTTGTTTCTTTGATACAGCTTTTTACCACCAGATGAATTTACCCTGATCCGATCATTAGCATTCCATTCGATGAAAGTACCGGTAAGGATTTTGGTTGATCAAATGGAGAGGAAGCAAAATATCTTTTTAGTACGTTTAAACTTTTTTTTTTCTGATTTTTAAAATAATTAGTAGGGGCAATAAAAAAATGACTGAACTCTGTTGCCAGATGGTTATTAATTGCCTGCTCCTAAGCACACGCTCAGCATCTTTTTATTGTGCTTTTGTGTGAGAAATTAGCTGCATGATTTGAAGATCTATGTTTGTAGTTTTCCAGTCAATCATGTTCTTGAGTACGTGGTTCATGCTTTCGGTGGGGTTTTTCGTCCAGTGTGGACTAAGATGCTGATTCTTTGTTACGCAAAAAAATCCCCTTCTCAGGGGTAAAACCCAAGTAATTAATCCCTCAATGATGGGTTTTCTACTTCGTGTAATATGTGATAAGTCTTTTCCGCAAATATTTTTCATTTTCTGTTGTTATTATTCCTAAATAACACAAACATTTCTGTAACGTTTCGTCTGACCCAGGTCAGATTTCTTCAGACAAGCATTTTACAACTGGAAGAAGTCTGACTTCACAGAAATATATTTGTGTAAGTGTGCAGCAAGACTCTTGAATTAAATAGAACTGCAAATATTGTGCAGTAGTACTTGCTGTAGCATTATTGCGTTAAACGCATACGGGTCCACTTGCGCAAAGGCATAGAGCAAGGAAAGGTAGTTAGTTTCACGTAACCCCAACTGTTAATATTTACAGTTTACAAAATCAAAAGTGGAAAACAATAAGTCTCAACTAAATTTAATCGCAATTTCAACTAATTCTTCGAGCTATTTTTAGGTAAAACATCAAAATTTGGTTTCAGTTTGGTTGTGGCAGCATCAGGCGGGCCAGATTGAATTACCCAATGAGCCGGATTTGGCCCACGAGCCGTAGTTTGCCCACCCCTGGTATATGCCGATGGGAGATTACTCACTGACTCATAGAGTCGTAGCACAACTAGATTTCATGTCACAAAAATATGCTTTGCGAAAATCTTAATGTCAACTATTTTAATATTCCACTTGGGGCTAAATTGCTAATTTCACACTGGTCTAGCTTCCCTATTTTGCCCAGACTCATTCAGTTTTTGCTTATGGTAGTTCAGTAATTAGCAACATCTATTAAACTAAGTGTATACAGAGATGAGCGTTAGAGTTAGCCATAATTCACAGAATCATTGTAGAATAAAAGTCAATATACACTATACAGTATATTCAACGTTTATATTTGGAATTGCAGGCTGTTGAGATGCACTTTTTGTTTAGTTTCTAGTTAGTTTTGCTTAGTTTTTCTTTATTTTCTACAATTCTTGTGAATTAAATAGTGGCCTTTTCGGCCATATTTCGACCTCGATTGCTCAAAATGATAATTTTTCAAATAAAACTGTTCTAAATTCTTCCTAAAATCTACTTTAATCAAATATTTGATTCATATTTGTCATCTTTAACTGATTTTGACTGAGATTTAAAGTCTAGTTGCCTACTGTATCAGCACAATAATCATGTTTTTTGTATATTGAGTGCAATGTACAGGGTGTACAAAAAGTTTCGCCCGATTATAAAGTCTTTATAATCAAATGTTATTTTTTTTTAATTTCAAAAAAGATTTATAGTCAACCTGTTTCTAATTGGATGTTATAGATGTTGAATGTTGTAGTCCCCATTTATCATACAACCAAATTTATTCAAATTTGCAATTGGTAATGCTATGAAATCGGGCGGAACTTTTTAGACTCCCTGTATTTATTCATATAGAATTGCATATGGCTTTTGTCTTGTTCATTTCGTTTTATGCTTAAATTTGTTCCCTTTTCACTTTGTGGCAAATTTTCTTTGTTTAGTTATGTTTGTGACCTTCTATTTTATTGCAACACTTGTTTTGTATTTCTAGTTATTTATTAATCATTAAGCTGCTGCTGCTGCAGCACAGTATACAACTTCACAATAAAAATTTAACCAAAGGAAATCTAATTAAAACAAAAGCAAATATGGAAGATGACAGTGTCGCCAAACCTGTAGAAACAATTGAATCTCCTCCACCCCTAAAAGGTTAAAAATACTTGAAGTGTTTTATTCATTGGTAATGCTTCCAGCTTAATCAATTATTGACAATAAAGGGGAATTTCGTAGAAAATGGGTCTGATTCTTTTTTGTGTCATTCATTTTCTTCTGTCAGCATAGACTTATGAAGCATCAATGATAGAATAATCCCATTTTAATGAGGAAATGTCATTTTCACTTTTTTGAACCTTGTGTTAAACTGAGTTCAAATGTAGATTAAACCTGTAAAATATTGTTATTTTCCAGTAATTTCTATATTTCTCTTGCATAATAGGCCGCCCCAATTACATGTGATTCACAAGCAATTGTTAAGCTCCAACCTCCATGTAATTATCTGTCCCCCTCTTGCCTCCCCTGCCTCTGTTTACCGTAGTTTGTGTTAACCATTCTGTTTACTGGTCTACTTTGTGTCAACCATATCTCTGGATAAATATGTTTATTAATGTATTTGACGCTTAATTTGCTAATCAAGGCATGTTATTGTATGTTTCCGAACTGTCATGCTGTTATTTGTTGTCAATGTTTCAGAAATTGCACCAGACCCGGCTGTCAGGTTTCGAGGTCTCGGCACAAACTTCAGAGCTAAGCTCATTGGAATAGATGATGTTCCTGATTCAAGGGGTGATAAAATGTGCCAAGAATCTATTTTAAAATTAAAAGTGAGTGTTATAATAGATATGACTCAATATCCAAGTATCTATGTCTGGAGTGTATACTGAGGTCAAGACCTACGTATCTGATACATGCATGTAAATCATGATGTAAATCATTGTAATACATTTGCATATTCAATCAAATTTTCAAAAACTTGCATGCACACATGAATATTTTTGGTTATTTTTATGTAGGCTGCTGTTTTAGCTTCTGGACGTCATAAACAGAGAGTCGTCATCAATGTTTCATTGGAAGGAATCAAAATCGTTGATGTCACGACAGGGGTTAGTTATCATGCCTACTTTCACTAATCCATTGTACAGGGTGACTAAATAAAAACAGAACCCAGGTCGTTTAGAACATAAACTACCGTAATTTAGAGAGAACATAAGTTTTGTGCAAAGCGTGCCTTATTACTGAAATTTATGGGTTGTGTTTTTTTGTGTCACTCTGTATATAATTTTGTATGAGATGCAGTCATAATTGTGTTGTGAAAAATGTGTTGATATTTCTTTTATTATGGCTTGTAACGAAGCTATTCAAGATTTGTATTCTGATCCTAGAAGCAGTAAAGTGAAAGTGCATTTTAAATTTGTATATTTTTATATTGTATTTGATGTTTGATAATAGTATAATTTAGTCTATTTTCATTGTTGAATGAACACAATTCTCTCAATCTGTTTTCCCTTTGATGTGCCCATTGACCATAAATGTCAATAAAGTATTGATTCTGTGACTTTCCTTGAATCAATTGTCGCTTTATAAGCAAAAGCAATTTTCTGGTTCATGCTACTAGTGCTTTTGACGCTCAATGAATGAGATAATCCTAATTGCTTGTTGCTTATAAATACAGGAAGTTCAACACGTCCACCCAGTTCATCGAATTTCATTCATTGCACGAGATCTCACTGATAGAAGAGCTTTCGGCTATGTCTATGGTGCCGGAGAAGGGAAGCATCAATTTTTTGGCATTAAAACATCTAAAGTAGCAGAAGTTTTGGTTCTTGCTTTGCGGGATTTGTTTCAAGTTGTTTATGATATGAAGAAGAAGGAGATTGAAGATGCAAAAACTCATCAAACAGTATGTTATGTTTTTGTTTGTTGGCATATATAAACGATTTTTTTGTTTTGTATCAAACACTTATGTACGGTGATCATCATTCAACTGAATGCATAGCTAAAAAATCAGATATTATAATTTTATAAATTGCTTTTTAATAAAGAAGCCCTTAATGCATTGGGATATTTTCAAATCAAATTTTTAATTCCTATTAGAGGTACAGTAAGGAATTTTTGGTGTACGATCATCAACTCGTAAGATTCCGATTTTGAAAATGAATAACAGAGACCATTCCTTTTGTGCCAAATACAGCGTTTCACAAGTACTTAATGCTGTTTGGGATTGTGTTCACTTAATGTTAATAAGGATTCTGGAAAGTTAGATTTGAACAAGGAAAATGAGATTATTCAATAGTAAAACACATATTCTTTAAAATATATACATGGTTGTTGTTAACATGGTCCAATCTTTGTCATTCACTCGTTACAATTGCAAAATAATTTTTTTTTCCATTTTGTAGAATGGCGAAGAGAACCAAGTAACAAAGCCTAATCCTCAGCAACAACAAATGAATCAGGCTCCAGTTCAGCAACAACAGCAACAACAAGGCGGTGAAGGAAATTTGTTTGATTTGGAACAACAGCTATCAACTATTCAAGAAGTAAAATAATTTTATCAGCCATTTTTTAACAACCAGTGTACTTTTACAGTGGCAATGTCACTATTGTTTTCCTGTAAGCTTGTTTCCAAGGCATTGTTATACTTGGTCAGACTAAGACAAGACACAGTTGGGCCCACTGGGACACGAAACCGCAATGTGATTTTAAAATTTAGTTGCATTGCATGAGAACCTTGAATACTAGGACACCGTAGCACGAATCCCTGATAAGAGGACTAGGAAGCGTTATATCATTGGCCATATATTGCAGGCCCTAGTGTTTCCATTAATATGGCCTATGGAAACACACTTGATATACCGGTATATCAATGCATCGCTTGCTCATATTTTTTATAATGTTAAAAAAGTTTCATGTGAAGGAAATTCAGACATAATATGCCAAACTTGTATAAAAGTTTCAATTTTTGATGAAAATCTGCATGCATATACATTGTACACATAATATGTTGCCGCCAAAATTATAGATATAGAAAACCATACAGGTTGTAAAATACGTAATTGTTTAATGGGTTTGCATATCAATATAGATCCATTGCATATCAATCAAAGTATTGCAGTAATTAATGTATACACGCCTGCTTATTTCTCATGTGAACTTTCCTCAGCACATTGATTGATGAAGTGATTATTGACTTACCAGATCTTACCAAGGTTCAACCAAGGTGGCGTTGAATAGTTCAGTTTGTGGTCAATGCAATCAATTGAAAACATAGCTTTAATTTACCTGATATTGGGACTTTGTATTGCCTAACGTAATGATGTACATTAGATCAGTGGTTCCCAAACTTTTTTGACCATCGCCCCCCTAAAGTAGTTTATGCAACTTCATCGCCCCCCTGCACTACAAAAAAATATACAGTCAGAAACGAATATATTACAGACCAAATAAGAAGACAAATAATAGTTTATGGTGTTTTTTAATGAAATAGATGAGCTTGGTGTTCTTCAGCGAGTTATTTATTATATCTAAAATTACCCCGTTTACTGATGGAAAGGTGATTTCGTTGTTTTAATAGCAATAGTAGCACGGCTGAAAACCCCTTTTTCACCATATAATAGATCGAAAATGAAAGAATCCAGGGTTCTACCACCTCAAAAACCGCCCTGTACTCTTGCCTTATAGCATTTCACTTTCTAAATTCACCCCATTTCACATTAAAATAATAAAAACAAAGTTAATTTTCCCAAACTTATAATAATGATTTTCGTACATCTCATTCATTCGTACAGCCTGATGACCTGCACCAAAATATTTCGGAAAAATTCATCCCTGATTCCTCATCCTATCACGGCCTCCAGTCCGATCACCATTCCACAATTAACCAGCCATTTGTTTTTGATTCATTGACTCGGATGTGGAAGAAGCCGTGACTGACTATCGGCTACGGCCCAGGGGTCGGCAAGTTTTATGTCGCTCGCAGGACAAAATTCAGGGTTGCTAGTCTTTTGCGGGTCGCATATATTTTTTGGAAGTTAAAAACGGAACAGCACGCAAAAACTGCGACAATTCGTGAACTCAACTCAGTCATCTTATTAAAAAAATATTACAATGATATATAATGTGACACTGTCTCGTTGCTGCATCACGCTGGATAGCTTTACGACGCCAAGGTTGAAACATTTTCTAAATGGGCACCACCAAACCCACTTCTTTGCTTGTTCTTTGTAATGTTCATTTTCGAAAATAATGATTTGCACAAATATGTACTTCCAAACATCGAAGTGAATATTTTCGCATGATTTGTGAAATTTTGATAAATATTTTCTCTCTAAGAAGATACATTCTTACAAAAATTAAGCAGTGATGAATCTCTCGATTAGAATATGAATTTTATTTTCTTATTGCTTCGCAATATATTCGAATATTTACTGCGCTATTGAACCCCTGCACTCAGCATCAATTTTTCTGCGTGTTTTCATTTGTCTAATTATAATTACATTGTAGGCTCGTTAATCGAGTGGCTGTTCACTAGATTGTTAGGATATAGTATAATTTAGTCTAAACGTGTCTCACGATAAATTCTGTTACGTAAAAAAATGTAATTTACTCCTCGAGCGTAGATTATAAATGAAAAATTTTCATCGTCAAAACCGCCGTTTGGATATTTCCCCGGGCATAGACTTCCTTGTTTACTTCGTGACATTGGCCAATCAGCAAGATGCAAAAAAAGGGAACAATGCCCCCTTTCGCATCCGCTCAGGCGCTCAGACACTCTCACTCAGACAGATTTTCAGGCGTGGTCGTGAACACTACCTCATTTTTGCATTTTTGAATTAAATTCGTTAGTTTTTAGTTGTTTTTCGGAAATTTAAATATAAATCAAATAAGTCAATGATTACTTTGCCTTTCCATGAGTTTCAGTTTAAATACAGCAATCAAAAATTAGTGTAGAAATAGCTGTGATAGACTAGGCTAAAATTCTTTATCGGTACTTTTAAAAAACAGATTGTTGAATGGTGTGTATTAGAATGATAGTTTGAAACAAATACCCCATTTTAAAGGCAACAACTCGCGAAACCACTCTTAAAATAAGCCCCGAAACTTTTAAAATGGTAAAGTATGGGAAGAATTTTCCGCAGTCAAAGGTCGGGGAAAGGTCCATTCAGTGAATCGTCCAGAGCCAGATTATTTTACTCCGGCCGTATTTTGCCGACCACTGGGATACGCAAACTACCTTACCTTACTGCGAAGACGAGACCAGAAATCCATTCGCGTGTGAATATCGCCCACATGATCAAGCCTGCCAATGCACACAGAGTACAGAATTAAGTGCGCCGAACATAAAACAGGTTTCGCGAAATCGCCCCCCTATCGCCCCCTTAGACTTTTTCGCCCCCCTCTGTATCGTTTTCGCCCACTGGGGGCGATATCGCCCACTTTGGGAATCACTGCATTAGATGTTGCATTGGTGTTGCATTGTTTTCACTTTTAGACAAGATGGCAAAACTCCATCATAAAAGTTCACGTTCTGTTTTTTTCTTCAACGAATCAAGCTTGCGAATTGTTGGAATACGTCCAGAATATTCTGGTCTAAGTCGGCAGTGAAAAGAATAATTAATTGAATAATATAATTTGATTGCCATAATTTAAATCGTTGCTGTAATTCTACACTTAGGCAAACCCTGGGCGTTTGAAACATGTTTTAGAGAGAACATAACTTTTGTACAAACTATCCTAGATTATTAGGTAAAATAAGTTTTCCTTGTTTTCGGCTTGTATGGTCGCACTGCATATTGCTGTTTCCAAGTATGAAAGTTGAATGGAAATATGTGATTTGGTGTCGGGATGTAACAAGTTCTTCTGTCAAGGAAAACATGTGGGAGTTGCAAGCTCCTAGTTTTGGCCATTTTTTGGTTGCAGACCAGACTCTTTATTGATTAATTTATTTTATATGACTATGTTTCTAAAATCTATCACACAATTTTATTCAGGGCATCAATAATATTGATTCAATTGGGCCGTGGTCAGAAAATACCCCAACTTCTCCTGATACTCCTGGATTTGGTGATGGAAGCAGTAGTGATTTGTTTGGAATTGCGGTGAGTTTAAGAAACATCTCATTTCATTTGTTCGATGTGACTTGACGTTAAATTTTTCCATGTGTATTTTTTAATTCGAGTAATTGAGAGGATATAAATTACACTGCAGTCGATTTTTATTTGTCCTGAAACTTAAAGATTTTTACATGATACCATAACTTTACATTAGTTAGAGCTTCTAAATTTTATAGTATTTTTTAATTCCCTAGTTGTTCAATTAACTGGAATTTAATGAACTTCCAAAATTTCATTCATACTACAGTGCAATCAATGCATTCGTGTGGGAAATACTACATGATTATTTTTCTGAATGTACTTTTCTACTCTATTCATCTTATCATGGATAATTATTTTTAATAAAATAAATTCAACAATTGATCTTGATTGATAATAACATGTATTTTCTCAGAATCTGAGTGATATTTCAAGTCTCAGTAGTGATTTTAGTTGCGCTAGCAATACCGTGGTGGATCACGGTCACGCTGGTGGAGGTGAAAGAGCATTCAATCAACAACCGTTTGAAAGATCTGGAAGTTCTCGAAGTGCTATATCATGGCAAGGATTTATGCATCAACAACGACATACTGTGGCTCGTGCAAGCAGTCACAGTACAGGAAATACCAATAGATTGCTCTCAGTTCCAGATGATTTATCAGAATTAAAAAGAACTAATTCTGCATCTGAATCAAAAATTTCAATGGCTTCGAGCAAGGGTTCTTCTGAATCAATCAAAAAAGAAAATACATTCAAGGTTCCTAAAGAACCTAGTGCAGAGAAAAAAGTCAAAGAAAAGTCAAACATAGTTGATGAAAATGGTCCTCAAGTAATTAAGCCTACCAGAGACACATTGCACAGTAGTTCATCGTTGCAATCTTTACCTGGTTCTGAAAAGAAATCAAAGAAACGTAGTTTCTTTTCTCGGAGCAAAAAGTCTAAATCTAAGAGCAAAAAAGATAAAAACACAGAGAAAGAAATCAGTCCAAGATCTGGACATTCACGAAATTCATCATCGGCGGGAATCTCAGAAAATGTCAAACCTCACCTGCCTCTAGGCAGGTTAGCACGACAAGGTTCTGTATCTTCTGTTAGAAGTTGTGTCGTACCATCGACTACCTATAATGTCGAAGTAACTACAACAAGGTTATCTAAGAGTCGAACAAGTTTGAATGATGATTCAACAAAACCTATAGACACACAAATTACATTCATGAAATCAAAGCAAGTTAATGCTACAAGTTCTGAGGGAAACAGAGATAATACAACAACCAGTCCCTCATATATAGTACAAAGCAGTATTTGTCCCAGGACCAGACCCCGAGCGAAGCATTCTGGTAGGGTTGAAGAAGCAGAAAATAACCCACATAATCCACCCATGTTTAAAACTCATTCTAATGTCTCTCGTAGTTCTTCAAAGTCTGAAGTATCTGATATCGTTACTAGAAGTAAATCTACAGACTCTGAAATCAATACTCAAGACTCGAATAAAACTGAAACCACAGATCCTGAGTGGGTCGCTTCATTTGATGCTGATTTTGATGTTTTAAAAAAAAATAAAATATCAGTTTCAGTGGCCGAAGAAGATTTTGATCCCTTCACTGGTCAAGTATCAAGCGAAACCAAAATACCTTTATCTGCTTCTTCAGTTTTTAATGACAATGATTGGGTTCAAAATAGTGAAAAACAAGCCGAACAAAAACAATCTAATGAGGAAGATACTTCACCTCAGAATAATGCATTTACAAGTGAAAATGCAAGCGATAATTATTTTACAGACTCTACCGTACCTGATTTTTCTGAAGATCCCTTTGCTTCGGTGACAAACGGTTCACCGTTTGATGGTATTGATCCATTTAGTGCCAAAGAGGATCCTCTTGATGATCCGTTTTTCGTATTTTCTGAAAGTGATGTCTTCAAAAATATACAATCAGAAAATACAAAAATTATGGACACAAATACTTTTGATTCTGATATTAATACTAATATTGAAGGTAATTCAGATTCAGAAATTGAAAATGAACCAACTTTCCCACTTGGAACAGATAAATTTATTTCTAACATAGATGATTACACTATTAAAACAACAATGTCAGCAGATTCTTCTTCATTGACGTCGGGTATGTCAACTCCTATTAATACACAATCACCAGTACACAATGCCAACAATATATCTATTATTACTACCTCAAACACACCTCCTACACTGCCACCGAGATTACCGCCCCGTCCTTCCAAAAAATCATCGCCTATTTTAACTTCACTCCCAGATGAATGCCCAAGTGAGCCACCTCCTCCATTGCCAAATCACTGCCCCCTTCCATCCTTGGATGATGATTCTGAAGAGGAAATCATTTTTGATGAGAATAGTGATGAAGAAGTTGATTCACCAGATTACCTTCCTCCACAACCTCCACAAGTGCCTTCACGATCCCCACCTGTAATACCAGAGAGAACGAGACCACATATTACGTCTTCATCTAGTTCACAATCAGAACTTAGTCAGGAGGTTTCAAATGAAGAATATGAAGATGACTTTTCAGAACAGCAGGTTATCATCGCACCCACAAATTTGGTTATGATGCCTGAATTAACAATTGCTTTCTTCCTTTTTGTGCTTGTGCTTATGCTAATGTTGTAATATGTTAATTTGAGCCTGCGTTTTTCCTTGCATGTGAGTCTGTGACTGTCCTAACTCATGTAAACATGCCTTCATTTTATGTCAATACCTTGTTGGCATCATGTTCCTGCATTTTATATAATATTAAGTTATTTTGTTCTTTACTATTATAATACTTCGCTTTTAACTAAAATCAATGCTAACCTTACAAAAATTCAAGCAACTCATTATGTCTGCAGCAACATTTGGTGGTGAAGTAAAAAACAAATTGTTACCGGTATAGTCGATTTAAATAAATTTTTGTGTTGTTCTTATTTCACTTCCGTCCAGTAGTTTCTAGTATAAAATGGTGATTGAATTTGTAATTCTCCACTTTTAGTACATAATATCTTGATTTATTGCATATCAGTAGTTTGTAGTAAAGTAATATTAGCCAGATTTGATACCATATGTGAGATATGGGAACTTGCTAAAAGGTTGAACTCTTAGAATCTTGTTAGACCTGAATTAAAATAAGAAATAAAGTAGAATTTTCACATTTGAATTTTTCGATAATTATATAATTGGAAATTCAAAGCGAGATAAACAGCCACTCAGTAGTGATGCGTTGGTGATATCTCACAGCTTACTAGTCATACGTACCTTTTTCAAATTCTCAGCTTGAAAATTCTAAAAATCTCAACCATCTCACAATATCTCTTATACCTCCACCACCTGTTGTGCATCGTAATCGACGGAAGCAAAATGATAATCGACGTCCTCACTCATTATGTTCTTCTGTGTCTAATGGTGATAGTTTCAGTTCCATCAGCTCCTCTAGCAGCTCTTGCATAACTGGCCACTCCAGTCAGCCAGAAGATTATGACAGCTTTTTTACATGTAGTTCAGGGGTAATTTTTCAATGAGCATGACTGCATGTAATCACACACTTTCACATCTGTGCTGTTGTTTCAAACCTTCTCTCTGTTGTATTAAAATCTTTAAATTAGGAGAATAATAACAGTTGAAAAACTTTTATTTTTATTTTGGATTCATTTCAAATTCCAATCCTGCTATGGAGGAAATTTAGATATTACTTGAAGGATTGTTGATGTGGGGTCAGGGTTTGAGGGTTTCAAGACAGAAGGGCGAATGTTGCAATTTCTAAAAATTATCATTTGAAAATATTATAAAGGAATAGGTACTCTTCCACCTGGTATGTAATCGTTGTCAGAGATATTCTCAAAAATATTTTAATATAGAGTTGAAGGAGTAGGCTATATGTCCTGGTTATTTTCTCAAACTCTGGTTTGTCTAATCATTTGCTTTGTTTCCTTATTGAAGGATTTTCACAGTGCACAGTTTCACATTGAAAAATAATTTTCACAATATTTTGCACAATTCACGAAATAGGTGATATTGCTTTCTATTTAATCTACCATTGGTGATCTAATCTGGGTGTAGCTTTATTATGGTGCAATGCAAATTTCTATATGCGTAGACTAACTCTACCAATATGGGGGGGCTCTATATATTTAGCATTTTTTATTTTATACCATAACTTGTATAAAAAATTCTGAGTTTTATTCATTTGCTTTCTTATTTAGGATTACTTCATTTATTTTTTTTGTGGAAGTTTCATTAATTTGGATTTTCATTTCATGAAAATCTCTTTTTTTCCATTTCATGTTTTAGTTTTGTGCATTTGATTTATTGCATGTTCTTCAGTTCTAGTTTTCTTGGTGATTTTTTTTTGAGATTAGCTTTATTTTAATTTTAAATATACTTATTTATTCATTTAGAGTAATGGATCTGGTGGACAACCTAAACAGACGACATCGTATGCTGACGAATTGTTTGACATCGCTTCACCTGTTGCCCAGCCTGCACCTCAGCCAGGAGCAAAACTGACGAAGGAGCAAATATTGTCCAGTTTTGGTGGAGGTATGACATTCGTTTACAAGAAATTAATATATTTTACACAATAACCGGCTACTTTATGCAACATTGGTGGCTGCACATCTTGTTATTAAGCATTATGAACATGCTTGCTATTTCACCTCGTAATTACCCTGTTCGCAAGTTCAAATTTTGTGGGGGATGATCATGTGTGAGAGGATTGCTGACCTTCTTGTCGTTGTGGGGTTGTTCACATAGCCAATTGTCGGTAAAGACTTCTCCACCATCAAGTCCATACATTCGAAAAAAAATACATGTTTTGTTGTTTACCCATTCCCACAATTAACTTGGACTTGTAACCGATTAAGCCGTATTACAGCATTTCATTTCCCGGGATAAATATGAAAATCCTGTTTCATCCTCCTTAAACATATATTTTTATTTTAGCTCAGCAGCAGGGAATGTTCCCAGGACAGCCAGGCATGATGGCTCCTCCGGGACAGCCAGGCATGATGGCTCCTCCGGGACAGCCAGGCATGATGGCTCCTCCGGGACAGCCAGGCATGATGGCTCCTCCGGGACAGCCAGGCATGATGGCACAGCCCGGCATGATGGCGCCACCAGGACAAATGCCAATGCATTATGGTCAACAGCAGTTTATGCCACAGCAGCAAATGCAAGGGTATCAACAACCTGTCACACCAGCTATGGGAATGTTTCCACCCGGTCCCAGTCCGGCAATTCCACCGCGTCCTGGTGCTATGAGACCAGCTGTACCACCATTGCTTGTAGGGGGAGCAGCGCAAAATCCATTTGGTGATGCTGGTGTGGATAGTGGTGCAGTCGGAATGTTGGCGCCTATGAGCAACAGTAGTGGTGCACAGTCTGGCGCTGATGGTAGCTCTTCAAAGCCCGATCCATTTGCTGGTCTTGTATCTGGAATAAGTGGCTCCGGAGCAGCAGCCACAAAGAAAGATATGTTTAAGAACTTTCAAATGGCCAAACCTCCCCAACCTCCACCGAGAACAAATCCACCAATCAATGCAACAAATGAAGCTCCAAAACCGTCTTCCGATTTCGACAATTATTTTCTTAACTCTGTTGGAGGATTGCCAATATCGGATGATGCAACCAACAACAATCCAACTCCAGCACCTAGAAAGCAAGAGGCTGCTCCAGCAAACGATCCGTTTGGTATGGGCCTTGGTGGTGCCAATCCCGCAGTTACAGGAGGCTCTGATCCTTTTCAAGGGAATGCAGCATTTTCACAACCTTTCCAGTTTAACCAGGTATGTCTTTGAACTATTCATAATATACTAATCAGAAATCTCATCTTTATACTGACTGTCACCTAATATGTGCAAGACTGCAGCATAAGATTTTTACATCTTGTTGTAAAATGCTTGTCTGAGAAAGTCTGATTTTGGTCAACCGAAAGCAGGACCATTGAATTGCATAGTATCATTGGTAGGGTCATATTTATTCCTGCTACATGATTCTTGCATTATATTCATACGGATCCACTATTGCAAAGACATTGATGAAGGATTGGGAGTTAGTCTTGCGTAATTTTTACTAATATTTGTCTTTGGCTTATTTTGGTGTTTCTGATAAATATTGATCTGATAAGAACAATCTAAATTTTATAATCTTTCATTCATGATATTCTATGTATCTTATCTCGGCAATTGGATCTTTATTGCTTTTCAACCTAGTCCTTTTGAGTCACGCTGGTATCTTTGCACTTGGTCCAAGGGAATCCAGTTGCATGAGAATCTAGATAATAATGCTACTCAGTTATGAATTGTCCCGACTCCGATTGACACTCTCTTTTTTTGTAGAATTGGACATAAATCCTAGTTGGCACAATTTGGACTTTACTAGATTTATTTTACTAAACTAGTGCATGTTTAGTGTTTACCAATATTTCCAGATCTTCTGTCCAATTCATTTTCCACTTTTATTTATCATATGGTAGGAGAATTTCTAATAAATCTTCAATTTTTTTACCTTACTGTTCCTGATTTTTTTTTAATATTCCTTTTGCTTCCGTGAAAAACCTAAAAGTTGACATTATCTCCATTCTGCAACAATGAGTTAACTTAGAAAGTTTATTGAGTGGAGTATGTGTTGATTTCCACTTATAACACTCAATGCCAATAACTTCATGAATGCCGTCATGAATTTTTATTTGAATCTACAGAACTGTTGTATTGTACAGGGAAACCCCCAAAAATAGAACCTATAAAATATTAAAATTAATTACTTCTATGAAAATGGATGGATTAAAACCTTGAATTTTTGTTTGTGTATGATTGTACCCAAAAGTTTCAGTAATCTTGAATGCTTGATACAAAAGTTATGTTCTCTATGGAATATGTTCCAAATGACCTGGATTCAGTTTCTTGGGGCCAACCTGACGTAATGAAAAAGGCGCTTCAGAAGTGTGTGTGCCAATACTGAGGTAACTAATTCTGTTCACCTACTTTACATAAAGTTGTGTAAAGGGACAGAAACCTATCGGCAGGGAATGTATTCATTTGACAGTCACCGAACTCGTAATAGAACTAAAATAAGGAAAATTGTAATAAAATTTTGGCCCAACCCTAACCTGGTACACACACTACAAAAGTACCCTGGAAAAAGTCATAATTTATTACATTTATAAATCTTGATATACTATTGCATTTTAACTTTGGAAAACACATTTGTATTGTTTTTCCAGGGATCAGCAAACTCTGATTCTCTGTTTGGATAAATTTGGATAAGAAGTCTCAACAAATATATGTACAGTCAAGAACATGTTCCGTCCACATTAAACTTTACTTCTTGTGCAATAAATAGCTGCAAGCGAATGTATCACTTTCCCTTCAAAAATTTGTGCAGAATATTCCTGCTTTTCCAATGCTCGCTAGTATGGCAAACATGATTACACTATATGCATTTTACACATATCAGTTTATTACCGGCTTCAATTAGTGTTAAACTAAATTCATTTGTATTATGTTAGTCATGTACAATTTTGGTGTGTTATGCAAGACCCAATTTGCTAGCTTTATACGATAGGGACATGTTATACAGGGTTGAAAATAAAACATTTTCGATTCATTATTTGCGTGCACATTGTCATAATAAACGAAATTTTTCTCCTTAGTATATGAAATATATTATTTAAATTTCAACATATACCAAAAAGATAATAATGTATATTTCATTTCTGTAATTTGCCATCTCATTATGCATTTTACCTTCAATATTAATACTAAATCATCAATCGTTTCGCATTTACTGAATGGTTTTTATCAGTGATTCAATTTTCATTCTACACTATTCAGAACAAAGTGAAAAGACTAAATATTGCAGTGAATTTTCAACCAGATCAATGGGATATTTCAAATTACCCACTCTGTCCAATTTTGAATTGTTTTCCATGCTAAAACAATAATTTCAATGTTCTAATAATTTCGAATAAATTAAAAATTTAAATCTTCTTCACATGGCTAATATGAATACAATGTTTCTTCCCGAATTATGATTGAATGACTATGCTAGTTTTGGGTATGCAGTTCATTATGTACAATTGGTATGCATGGATTTTTGTGTTCTTCCTACTAAGAGAATATTTATTGATGGAACTTCTCCACCTTCCCTAATTATAGAATTCAAGACCGCTTCTGAGCATAGCATTTTATTAAATTACCCTTCAAAAAAACCTGATGCAAATCTTTTTCTTTTTACGTCCATTAAATTTTTGATTTTTTCAATGAATATCAGATGATCCATATATTGTATGCCTTGCAACGATTGCATGCCGCCATATTTTGATCCCTCATCAGTTTGTGCAATGGAATGAGTTTGCTGAAATGACTGATTTTTTTCCTTTTAATCAGTGTTATCAATTTTTATATTGCGTTATCTAGAGTAGTGTATTTCTAGTAATAATATATTGTGATTCGAGCAAATGCAGATATAATCCTCTGTCATCATGTATTGAAGCAAAATAATATTTTTCTTTCAAGACACTATAATTGTATTGGCTGAATAAATTAGCCCTATGACATATTCAGATGTGGTATTTTATTCAAAGTGATGTGTGTTAGAAGAAACAGCATTGCCTACCGTGGAGTGAGGGTAAACCCCTGCATCTCATCACTACCCTTGGTGTATTTGATGTATTGATTGATATACACTTTACGGCAGGCGTCGGCAACCTTTTGTCGCTCGCGGGCCAAAATTAAGATTTGCAGGTCTTGAAGGGCCGCACATAGGTTAAAAACCGAACGGATGGCCGGTGAATTACATTTTTTTCCACAGATCAGAATTTTAAATTCCAAGCAGCCAACTTATATATATATATACTTGTGTTGCATCACGCTTGATACGTTTTCGACATCACTAAATGGGAAACATTTTCTGAATGGAACACTGGATATAGGAAAGATTAAAATAGTGCTCGAGTGCTCGGCTTGTTCTTTGTAATGTTCATTGCACTTAGCAGCATCAACGTTTCTGTCTTTTGTTGCCATTTGTCTGATTATAATTAAATTATAGGCTCATTAACGTAGGTAACCAGCGTTACTTCTCGGAAAGTATTACACTGAGCAAATGTTTGAGCTGAGCAGAGTCCTAAATTTACAAACTATGTGAAATATTACAACAGCAGAATGTGAAAATATTACAACAGCAGAATGTGAACAAAGTATACATTCAACTTGAAAACATGGAATGAACATTCTAGCTAGGCGTTAGAAATAGTTGATAGTTTTTGCTGCTCTAGGTAGGGTTGCCAACTTTTATGTTAAACCATTCCGGGACACCTTAATGTCTAGAATTTGAAAATTGAAGCTTGTGAAACACGAAGCACGTCAAAAGCAACAGTGCGCGCTGCGCGTCGTGCAGCGTTATTTTCCAAACTGTAAATAATTTTATGATAATCAACGAAACTTGTGAAATGTTGACTCTTTTAACTTTAACGCAAAAATGCAAAAAAAAACTAAAACAGGGAAATGTACTATTTTTGCTAAGTAGATTTAATTATTTAACAAAAACACAAGTAATTAGTCTTTCTGGTATTTACATTTTTATTGCAATTTTGCCGATTTGAGAAGAACTTTTAAGAAGAGCTGTCAGCAAGGCGTCCTAAAACAGACGGCTGTGCGAGCCTGAAAACTGACTGAATAATGAAATCCTGCTCATAAAAGAACATCACACTAACAGTGCATTATAAACTAAAAACAAAAAACACGGAATATTGTTACATGCAGCAACTTTATTAACTAAATTTTTGAACAAATCTCACTGGATTAAGTTTTTGATCCTCTCAAGTTAAGGTGACTGCTGTATATAATCTCATGCCATCAGGAGGTCACGGTTGACGACATGTCTAAAACACAAATTTCAACTCAATCCTATTTGAATGAACCATACAGATGTAATCGTTTTTATTGAAAAATGTGTTTGCGTGAATTACATCCGAATCCAGTTTGAACGAAATCGACACGCTTACAATGGCCTTCTATTTCAGAACGCATTGATTGTCGTTAAATTCCGGGACAACCGTATCCCAGCTCGGGACACGGGACGCTAGACGTCCATTCCGGGACTGTCCCGGCCATTCCGGGACGGTTGGCAGCCCTAGGCCTCTAGGTCATAGGTTCTCAAAGTGCTCCGTACGGAGCCCCAGGGCTCCGCGAGAGAAACCCAGGGGCTCCGCGAGCTATTCGGTTACTTTTCAAAATACTGACTTGGCTAATTTTGTAACTGTTCAAAGAAGCAATAACAACTTTGATAAAATTGAACAACAATATAGCCTCGAAATATGGCAAAAAGGCGGAATTAAAAAATGACATTATTTATAAGTAGGAGCACAGCCAGGATTCTTAAGAGGGAGGGGTTCAAAATTGGAATTGGAAATTTCTACGCAACATTCTTCATTTAAATTGCATTTAAAGTGTCTTGTCGTAATAATTCTAATTGTGCTCATCGTCACTCACGTTTGATTCGAGATTACTATTAGGATTACTAAAATGAAAGAATACTATTCTAAAACAAGAGAGCTACGCACAAATATATGGACACGTTAGACCAGAGCGAATCAGTCTTTACCGGTACCTTTGACGCTACCGGTACCCTCAAAAAAGTTCTGAATTTCCAGTAGCAAGAATTTTGCCGAATCAAAACGTACAGCCAGTCATGACACTGACTAAAATCCGTGTTCCCATGGATAAAAAATAATACAGCAAAATTTTAGACGAAATATCAAATTTCATAGAATTCAAGCAAAATTTTGAAATAAATAAAAGTAATAGCCTTCTAGCAAAGAAATTAATCTTTAACCACTGAAAACCACTTTCACTTAACCACTTTCAAAGCAATTGGTCCAGTATTCGAAGAGAAAAGCGATTTTTTAAAAACGTGTCAAAGAACAAGAACAACAACAACAACAACAACATAATATTGAAACGATCGTTATGGCCACTAAACGTGTCCAATAACATAAAATACCCAAGGTCTGGGCAAAATATGAACGATTGTAATTTATTTTATTGCATGCGGCTAAAAGGTACAACGCATGCACAATTGACTGTGTTTCGATTTCGCAGTTACTATTAGGCCGTGAGCCGAGGCCCTGAAAAACGCCTAGAAAGTGAGTTTCGTAGCGCACATCAGGTAACTACCTGAAAATGATTTTAAAATGTTCCTTAAAAATTTAGTAACAAATATTGCCTTGTTCCCACTTCCAAAAGTTGCACGTTTTACGGAAAAGAAGCTTTTACTACAAGAAATATGTGCTACGATCTGTCCTATATTCTCTACATTTTCGGCAAGGAACAATGACTTCTGCAAGACGTAACAATTGAATTAAACCAGCTGTTAGCGAGCGGATGAATATTAGTTATTACTGCTCGACCTTGCGCTGAGTTGGGCAGCCTTTCCATAGCCCTGTTTAGTTATTATTAGTTAAGTTATGCTAAGACGTTGTTGAAAAATGTATAAGTAAGTTATTAAACACTTGTAGATCCTTACCACGGATATGGGCCGTGAGACGGAACCATGAAAACGCCCAGAAAATGAGTTTCGTAGCGCACATCTGGTAACTAAATAAATTCTTCAGTTTTGTGTGAAAATGAACATACTGAACGCATTACAGCTTGTTCCACAATCCTGGTGCGAAATTGAATATAAGAGGTTCCCGGAAATTCAATAACCATAAGTTTACAACACATACATAAGAACTATGCAATTCGAGAGCCCTACAGCACACTAACACAAATGTATTCCTGTAATGTTTTGCCTGACCAAAATCGGACTTCCTCAGTCAATCATAATTTATTAGGTAGATTACGAAAAATATGGCATACATGTAACCAACAACAAAAAATACTTTAATTGTGTGACAGGAGTCGGGAGTGACCTCGAAAGCAGCGACACCAACAACGCTGATTCACATTTGCGAATAAATTTTATGTAATAACCACAAGCAGTTTACAACAAGAACAGCATAAAAAGCTACATCCATTTTATAGAAGCTATCAAACCTATTTATTTTTTAGCAATGAAGTCACAAATTAACATCGTGAGCACGAAAACACAAATAAATCAGTTATTTCTCACTTAGAAATTTACCGCAAAAGTCAAGAAAATTAAATGAATGTACAATATGTACATAACATAGTGAACAGAAATATTACAATTCACAATTAATCTTTTTTAGTTTATGTGGTTATGTACTTGAAAAGGCAATAATATTTCTAGAAACAGGACTACGACACTAACAAATGTCCGAAAAAAAAAACAAATGTATGATACTTATTAAATCAACTGTAATATCTAATTCACTTTCTTCTGAATTGTTTTCGAAATCCACTATCTCAAAAATCGACTTTTCCTTTATAGGTGTACTGTGATTTCTGCAGTCAATACAAAAACAAAAATCTGTGCAATTTAAGTTGATTTTGGCACACTTTCATAAATTATTTTGACTATTTTCTTTGCAGTTTGCCAACTCAAGAACTGCTTGCTGAAGCCACATGCTTCTTCAGTGAATCATTGTTGGGTGGAGAGTATAATCCTTATGTTTGACAGTGTTAAATAGACGTGGCCTGGTATCATTTACATTCTTCATATCCTCTTCAAATTCCTCAGCTTTATTTATTAATGCCTCGTTAACCTCAAAAGATCTTCATAGTCGAGGGAAAAAAATGAATTGAAAATCTCAATGAAGTCTCCAACATGAATTTGATGGGCAGTTCCAATTGCAGAAAAGTGCTAAAGTATTTCAATATGAATAGCCCATCTAAGCTGTTTGCAACTATTATGATTCTCATATACCTTTAAGCTTCAAGACTTCTTGTTTAATCCATTTTATAGCACTGATAGCAGCAGGGATCAGAGCCTGCGTTAGGTCGGATTGGTGGAACATTGCCGTTTTCTTTTGTAGTACAGTATCTAAAATAAGGAAGAAAATAATATTTGGAGCAGCATGATTTTAAAAATACCCCTAAATACTAACTAATACCTTGAATACATAATGCATTTTATCTGATGTACTAAATGAGCGTATACCGGTATATGCTCATTGCATGTACTACAGTCCAGCAGTGTTTGCATACCATTACTAGACTACCGGTATATCTACACTAAATTTTGATATATCACAGTCTGAAATGTCCTATGACAGTATGAGTATGGACTATAGACTATATTTTGAAACATCAACTGTTTGTCTACAACTTGATTTCTCACCTCTCAATCGTTTCCAATGCTACCTTTCTTTCCACTCCGGCATAACTTATCATTGCTTCCCAGGTTCTTGTCGACTCTAGGAAATTAGATTTAGACCAACCGACATTAGTAAAATTGATTAATTTCTTCTCTTTCACACAACCGTGCATTACAGAAACAGCCATTCATTTCTATTTCCAAATATGCTGTGGCCTATATAGTAGTATAAGTCTGCTGAATAGTCAAGAAGAGTCATTAAATTAATCATAAACATTTCATGCAAGCCAGAAAATGTTTGTGACATATTATTCTAGGTATAGCCTTCCTTGGAGTTACCGCACCGTACGGTACCTATTTAACAACGTCTTATGGGCTAGTGCTCAACTAAAATTGCTTGTTATGGTAAGGATATACAAGTGTTTAATATCTTACCTATACTTTTCAACACCTCCTTAGAATAACTGAACTAATATTACCGGTAACTGAAAAAAACTATGGAAAGGCTACTCAACGCAAAAGCGAGCAGTTGTAGTACATCTGATATTCATCCGACCACTGGGGATCCACCTACAGCTGACTAACTTGACTGTTACGTCGTGCAGAAGTCGGCGTTCATTGGCCCATGATACCGGAAAAGCAGAGAAAATAGGACAGATGGTAACACATATTTATTGTAGTAAAAGCGTCTTTTCTGTAAAACGTGCAACTTTTGGAAGTGGGAACAAGGCAATATTTGTTACTAAATTTCTAAGGAACATTTTAAAATCATTTTCAGGTAGTTACCTGATATGCGCTACGAAACTGAAAGATAAATGGCCTCGGCTCGCGGCCTATATGATGAATAACCAAAGTAAACATAAAACTAAATTTTGTGATTCACAATGTCTATAAAAGTCTGCTGAAACAACACTTATAGTGTTATCTCCCATTTAAGTTTCAGTTTTAATATTTTAGAATGCCGCTTTCCAATCAAGAAATTCGAGTTGCGGATTTACCTCTTTATTAATTATTATTTTTAGTATTTCGTCGCCGATGACTATAATATGATAACATGTTTTTTTACATTGAACTCATAATTCCCCACGAGAACAAAAAAGCAATTATCGTTGTCATTGTGGAACAATACACGTATATGTCAATGGAAATTTTTGATTTAGGAAGAATAAACATCGGCGTAAAGATGTTTAAGGTTTAAAACACGCCATACTGACGAAAACAATCGGCGATTGTAACAAAATGCAATCGCGCGCGTTTTTAGCGCCTTTTAAGTCTTCCAAAAATGTCAAAAGGGAAAAGATTCGACCCCTATATTTATTAATATGTTTGTCAAGTGTCAAATTTATAGCTTTAGTATATATAATTTATCTTTGAAATTTAGATTCATTTATGACTTGTATTAACCCTATTAAAAAGGTGTTGCATTCAAATTAAGTAAAGTACTTTTAACTTACTCAGGAATATTAATTGGAAAGTAACAATTTTAACATTTATTTTGGGGCTCCGTGAATAATGGTCAACCTTTTCAAGGGCTCCACAACATCAAAAGTTTGAGAACCCCTGCTCTAGGTGACCACGAAATGAGTATACTCTAATTCAAATGATGAAGCATTTGGCCGCTCACTGCTCCACACATAAGTAAGATGAATGTCTAATGAAAACTCCCCAAGGTTTCACTCACTTTTTGATACTGTAATGGTATCCCTACATATTTGAGCCTCGTAAAACACATATATTATTATGGTGAGAAATAATATTGATTACTCTTCAAATTCAACGCACTGAATTTATTCCCTCAGGGAGACGAAAATAAATCGCATCAAAGTGAAATTGGCACTGTTCGGGTTCAAGCTCGCGATGTGTCAGCGAAATTTAGCTACACGAGAATTTTTCTCAAACTTACAACAACTTGATACCAACGGCAGGGGAATATTTAATGTTGGTGACCTACGGAAAACATCTTCAAGAATTACACAATGACATGTAAATTCGTTTCATCGGTGCCTTCCAATTGGAGACTCCTGGACGGATAGTCGACCATTCAGTAACGTTAACGAACACGGGGAACTTATCACATTGCAAAACGATCTAGAACTCAAATCGCAGTGCAGTGTTTCGTACCTATCATTCTGGCCATAGAGAATCAAATTAGCCACGCATAGTGTATCGGGTTAAAACTCTTTATCGCCTATCCCAGTACGGACTTGGTATACAGTGTATTTTTCAGTGCCATTACCGCGATTCTAGATAGCATAAGAAATTTTTATCAGTGGGTTGGGGGATAATTACAAAATAGTCTAAGGGGGGCGCTGAAGTAATAGAGTTGAGTTGGGTATTTGGTGCTAATGCTAACATTCTAAAGATTTGATCATGTAGACAAAAATTTAATCATTTGTATTGGATGGTCGCTTTCTTGTTGTAGCAGTGTGATGTCGACCACAAAATTTTTTCGACAAAGCTATATATATATGAACCGTTGGTTGGAATATCAGAGACCAGTTTAAATCCTCCTGTTTCGATGGGAACGAACTTTTCAAGCACAACATGTGTAAAAACAATCATAAATTTGGCTATGACATCGGCCGATCGGCGTAGTAAATTGTAATTCTATCCGTGCCTCCCTCCCACTTCGCCCATGAAGTATTAGATCGGGTATATATGGGCTATGCCGAACCGGATCGGTTACGACTGTTTGAATACAAGGCCACATAATATATATATATATGCCATCGTAAACTTACGAGGTTAGTGACAACAAAATTGGTATCTATAGGCCTATTGACAAATCATGCCTATATCTACCAAGCATATAACCATTTAAGTTTTCTTGCCAGTTCTGATAAAATATGTGGGATGCGGCATTTTTCTGTGAATTTTCCCTTCTGTGTAAATTTTCGTGAATATGGATATTCGTGCAATAAATTTCTGGACGTTAACGGCTTGATATTATCACAAAATTACAAAAGAAGCCACAATCGCGGAAAAGATTATAAATATTTGATGCTCTGAATTTGTCATTTGAATGGTTTCGAAATAGTAAAATATTCTCGGTACAAACAATGAATATAAAATCTCCCAACACGACAGTCGAAAAAGCAGTCTCTACCAGCGTTTCTCAACCGAGGAGGCATTCTGTCCCAGAGAGGAATTATTACTCTGTACTCGAGGTAGTTTTACTAATAATGTTTAGTTATTTATTCAGCATTATTGTAATATATATTTACGGACAGATCATAAAAAGCCAGAATGCGAATCGCGCATATACCACTAGCTAATGATACGTTAAGGGTTAGCGTTAGGGATTGAAAAATTAACCGAAATATTTTATGCACAGTGATGCAGGTTTAAACAGAACAGAATAGGCGAAGGAAGTAATATATTGAAAAAGGTTGAGAACCGTACTGACTTAGACAGATTTTTAGACGTGGCTGAAACATCAAGTTGTTTTCGTGACTTCGCTATCTATTCGTCAGTTTTACGCTGATAAAAGCAAATAACTCATTATTCATTTTATCTTCTGAGGAGTTTCAATTTAGTTAAATAATCAAACATTAGTCAATATGCAAGACGAAAATTTGCTATCGGTAATTTCAATGGCAGGAAGTTGGATATTTGAAACTAGGTGAAGGGTCGGGGAAACATCCATTGCCGAAAAGCGATTATAATTTTGCGAGTGGTTGCTACCATGTTTATTCACAGAAAAACAAGGACTACTTGTGAGGAGAAAACTATATTTTGGCCAATTTCCAGTGTTTTGGAAGTCTATATTGATTTTATTTATGAATATATTGTACTTCATCGAGGCAATGATAAAATGGCCTGACAGTATTTGGGTCATTTGGTGAGAATAAATATTTTAAAATTCATCCTTTATCAGTTTCAGAAAATCCAGCAATTTTATTTTTTACTTGGTACGAACGGTTTGATCGCGATTTTAAATTTTTCAAGAAAGCAAGAGCATCCAGTTCAGTAACCAGTTTGGACGCCCAGGAGTAGAGCATATGGTAGAGCTGGCGTTTGAATTCACTACCATACTTTTGGGGTTTTTCTCTACACTATTTCAAAAGTTACGAGTGAAATTTCAGCGAAGACGTTCAGTATTTCCGGAAAATACCTAAATCCGAGATCATGAGCCTGTGATGCCAACACAGTTAAACAAATTACTTAAACATTTTAAAAACTTAAACAAAAATCAAATATTTCAGTTATATTAGCCGCTCTATCACAAATTTCAAATGCAAACGTATGAATGGAGTCAAACGAATTAAAACGATTTAGCCCGCTCCGCTGATTGCGGCTTAACGTTGACTGTTCCGCTCGATTGCACAGCAATCAATGAGGAAATCACCGATAAAAATAAGCATTTTAAGCATAAATTTATATATGTTCCTTAAATTTCACCAAGTATTACTAGTCATCCATAGCCATTTAGTTTTTAAAAGATATTCTCTCCCTATGCTTGATGTGGAGTCGTTCAGAAAGAATATACGCCCAGGAACATCTACTCTATCTATGAATGTCAATGAGTTATCACAATTATCCATGTTAATACGCTCCTACCGTTGCGATTAGTTACGAGGTCGTCGATATAGTCAACACCATTTTACATTCATTACATTTTAGCAACGTCAAAAATCGATTTAGCTATATCATCTTCTGCACATCTGCTTATAGGAAGACATAATATTAATTCACTATCAATAAATTGATGAAATAACTGACGAAGCATGCTAAGAACTAAACTAAGAACTACAGTACCCACAGTAATGTATTACAAACTAATATTTGAATAATTGTTATAGTGGCCAGTATGCCAATTATTAGAAAGCAGTTACTTATTTAGATCGTGTGAGATTTATTTATATTTGTGTATCACTTGGTGAAAATAGTTTAAATTTAACGATATACTGAGTGGAATGAGAGCATTACTTGAGAATGGCAGCAGCCTGCCAAGACATAGATTAGTAATTTTGCTAAGGACGAGGGTATTGGAATGAAAGAGCATTGTATATTATAACGTTTTTTCATTTTGGGGAAAATATTTAACGTTCCGCATATCTGCGAAATAAAAACAATATATCGTGGAATAACAACTGCTGGATTGTTATCAAAATTAACAGACTAAATTGGGTCATACGAGTACTTTTTATTCTAACATATCATTATAATTTCAGAAAACAACTTTAAAATGTCAGTAAGACAAGAACAAAAAGCGAATAATGTATACCAGAATACAATAAACTATATCACTCGTTCACAGAACGAAAATAGACATATGAAGTGTCCTTCAGCTTATTAAATTCTCTAGTAATTCATTTTAGACTTTTCACAATAAAGTATGTGACGTAAAGGGATAGCTAACAATATACATATGGAGAGGGTGTGTTGTCATGTGAAGTCTGAAGTATATCATTAAATGAAATGGATAATTACTACCAACGCTTGCTATTTAATACGGCATCAATATTAATATTCATGAGTTTCTTTGCAATAATTTCGTGCAGCTCAATATCATGCGGTAAGAATCTTTATTTGAATATTTATATTTATTAATATTGCCCATTTTACTTGGATATTCAACAAATAAGTTTTATCTTACTTGTATTGAAATTGGGACACGACAACTTTTCATTTAATCCATAGTAGGCTATTAGAGTTTACCCGAATTCTACAGGACTTGAAAATCAGTATTTACAGACAGCTAGCACCATAATACCCAAAACTCAAGTCATTTCACACTGAATCAAAAGGCTTACATAAGTTTGATATTGTGTATATCTTTTATCTTTGTCGACTCACTTTCAGATTCCACAAACAGCCAAGTTATTATAAGATTTCAACTCGTCATCCCAAAGGATTGGACAAGCACGGTTAGAAATCAACTGAAGACATCAGTGTCAAAGTTCACAAATTTCTTCTGCAAGGAAAATATAACCGAATGTGGGTTGAAAAGGCTGAGGTTAGAATGACAATATACTTTCATATATTAATTTATAATTTAAACAAATTGGAAAAGGGCTCATCTTGGATACATAGTCCTCGTCGTAAATCCGGCGTCCATTTGAAATCCTCGGCGCAGTAAATAAAAAAGTTCACCATCTTTTACAAAGTTTGTGATATGGTCCAAAGGCGTAACCGGCCCCGATTATTTTTTTGTATAATGACCTAATACGACGCTTTCTCGTTTTTTTTTGCTTCGAACAAGGCCAGTTAAAAGCATCCAATGATATCTAGAATTTCTCTACAGACTAACTTAGCTGTCGAAGTTATTCAAGTTATACAAGTACGCATTTTCTTCTTTCTCGGTTGGTTCATTTGGTGAAAGGATTAATTGATAGCAAGCTAGGAGAAGTCAGTTGGCAGTAAATCGTTCAAGAATAGAGTAAAAATGGTGCTGGAAAAGGCATAAGAAAAAAAATGTTGAATGTCGCCAAGAATTCTGATCTAGGTGACCGTACATTTGAACCCACGTACACTTGAAACCATGTACATTTGAACTCATGTGTATATCCGCTGGTTCAATCTATATGCGGGTGCTAAAACCCATGGGTTAGGGTTAGTATGTGTTCAAATATCCGTAAAACAAAAAAAAAATTCCATATGTGCAATAGTATGCAGATGCAATTGTAGTGGGTTCAGATGTACGTGGTTCAAATGTAAGTGCGTTCAAATGTAATGGAACCCTGATCTATTAAACTGACGAATCTGCCTATTTTTATTTACTGGTTTCACTTTCAACCTCAAGTGCTACACAGAAAAATCGGAAGGCTCGTGTCCCACTTGCAACTTTAAATTTGAATGTGGTGATAACGCTTAAAACGAGTCAACAATTTGTGTGCATTTAAAAAAAGATTTAATAATTAGTTTTGTGATATAAGGAAGTCAACCAATTTGAGCATGAAAATTCACCAGGTGATTTCATTAGATACTTGTTGTTCGTAAAACTGTAGTTAATATACGCTGAGTATTCATCTCAATGTATTGAAAATTTATTATGAACGGAAACTGCGATTAAAAATGCATTTAGCACCAAATGAAATATCTAACGCAAATAAACAACCATAGAAATGAAATGATAATACTGGATATTATTGAAAAAGCACAAACGAACGGTAGATGGCAATTGTGATTCATTTGCAAGTTGATTCAAAACAATGATTTCTATTACTATTCCGAAAACACGTTTAAAACACACGAAACAAAAAGCTGCGTTATGGCACACAATAACTACGCGCTATAGATATAAACAACATTCACAATCTATTATTGACGCTTTGAATTCTTGGCACTTAACCATTCTCTTGACAAGCAGAAATTTCAATAGCAATAAAGCAAATTATTTACACTCAGATGGTTCCATGCATCCACAAATTCACCCGAATACGAATAAAGCATGCTTTTTCTGGTTTTCCTATTACCAATACACAACCATTCATTTTCTTTCTTCTGACATTGTCGTGTCCTTATTATCATAAACTATGACCAAAGCAACTGGGAGGTTATTTTCTCTCATTTGGCTAAAACGCAGCATAAAATGCCTGTTAATCTAAGAATACGTTTTTCCATCTAACCCGTTGTTTTTCTTAAGCGTACACAGTGACAGTGAAGTTTGTATACGCTATTATTAAAAAAATGAATTAATTGTTGCAAATTACCTTTCAAATAGAAGGATTGCGCATAAATACCGGGGCGCAAAGCAGTGCCAGGTACGACAATAAGTAAGAGTCACCAAGATACTTGTAATGGATTAATCAAATCAATACTACAATAGAAGTGCACCAAGATGGCGCACCACCTGAACCCCAACCTGGTACACATACGATGTTCAGGTTGTGTGCCATCTTGGTGCACATACTTCTGACGTTCTGACTTCTTTTGTCTTTAACTCAAGAGCTGTATTGAGTCAAATAGTACATTTATTTTGGGAAACGTCACTATTGTCGTAAATAATTCATTGAAATCGTAAAGACTGCGATAATATAATTCAACGAAAGCCGGGTCGGGTTTACATCTTATCCATAGTTTGAATGCAATATAGGATAACCATTCATTGATACTTACACGGAAGTAAATGCACGAATAGCTGAATCCATAGAAAAAAATTTCAAGTCTAATTACAAATTAGTCTTCTTAGTAATAGCATATAGCTAGTTCACCTTGATTTTTTATAGTAGAGTAAATGTAAATTATTGAGTACGTAGATAAAATTTGAAAAATGTTTCTCGCATTTAGTTTGATTCAAGTCAAAAACTATATCTGTACTGTTTATATATGTTGATTTCTTCATACCTAGAAAAAATTTTGGTTTTCTTATTATTTAATTTCAGTTCATTCAATAGTGGAAACGTATTCATTGCATCTGGATACCCAAAAGAAGATATTATACATTCATTGGTATCAATATACGTTAAACTTCCGACAGGCGAACAAAAAAATGATAAATGTATATTTCTAAGAAAATCTGTCCTAGCAGGTATGTTAATTTCGCAATTTGTAGTAAGAAAACGGCATTCACCATATCTGTGAATACTCAAGAATGATATCAGTAGAAAAGCAATCCAATTTATATCTTCTCCGAATGTCGTGACAATTTCTGCCCACATTGACGTCACGTACATGTGTTATTCATGAGGTGACTCGTAGGCATTGGAAGTCTCTCATAAAAGAATTTGATACGAGAAAATTGATACAATTACGACTAATAGCACTTTAAATAATTGAGTGAGGAATTATTTATTCTTTAAATTTTTTACTGTAAATTTCCAAATGTTACCACTGCTTCACCGCCTTCCTGACTCAACAAACTGGATTTCCAGTGTCTTCTTGGAATCGAATGTCTTCAACAAATAAAAGGGTGCCATGTAAGATATTAAAAATACTTAATACCGTTCAATTTTCTGTATGATTCCCAAAACGATATTATTTGTATTCCTAATTATTAAAAATTGCAGTCGGTGCTGAAAAGCTACAATCCTATGACTCATGGGTTTTGGCTTAACTGGTTTAATTATCGACAAACCAAAATTGACAACTACTGAAGACCTCGGCGGCTACTAGTGCAAGACTTTCTCATATCTCTCTTATAATAGCTTTTTCGTGTGAATTGCCCGGCTGGTATGGATTACAAGTCAACTTATTCAGACCCAAATGATCGAAGTATGCGAATCCTGATTTCAATATACCTCTTTCCGTCGCCCATGTTATGTCCATTTTTTGCTACTTTCAGTACTTGCACTGACCGGTCGCTGTTTATTCTTCCCCTCGCCACAGATACCAAGTCTTTTGTCAATTTTTCTTCGTCCGATTCACCAGCTAATGAGATTATCTCCCGATCACTTGTTCAATATTTCATATTAATAAAATATTTCTTGTTTAGAAATCATTTCAATGAATAAAGAGCAATTGCAACTGGACTTAAAACATGCCTCAACAAAAAATGTACACAGCAGTTATGGCTTCCGAGTATCACATGTCAACGGTGCCTCACAGATAAAAAGCACCCGCGATGGGGATGACGCCATTTTTATACCACTGATATGCGCCTTTGTTTTTGTACTTGCGCTTATTACAATTCTTTTAGAGTGTAACAGGTATGTTCAAAAGTAGGTTACAGCAATGTTATTTCCTGATGTTTTGTTCAGTAGAGCTGTAATTACTAACTGCATTCCCCGAGTAGCGCTCGTTGGTTCACTGAATTCGCCAAATAATTTACATGGCATATAGTAATACAAGTTGATTAGGTTGCCAATAAAGATAATAATATTATCAGCTATGAAATTTACCTGTAATATTCCGACACTTTCCGTCAACCGAATGTCCTGTATACCATATTCCTTGATGTCCGTAAATTACGATTTCATGATATGTAAATCAAGCCGTTATAAAAAGTTACAGTCAGTAAGCAATCTCTGTTTGTACGAATTTTATTTACTTTGCCAATATGTATGAATCATACAAGTTGTTATGATAGGAATACTTTGGTAAATAATATACGGATATAGCCCACATTAAAAATCACCCACATCCACAAAAATTAAAATGGAAGTTTCCAAAGTTTGATGAAGCCAAGATGTTATTACCTATCTCTTATTTAAAAAAAAAATTTTGATATATCAAATTTAACATAGAGTGCTTCCTAGAATGCGTCGTAGATAAAGTATAAATGACTACGTTATACTTTTATTTTCAGCAAAAGGCAACATACGCGACTTTTGAATCGGGTTATTCAAGAGAAGCAAGCTTCAAAAGCATCCCAATCAAGAGATGGTTCTTTTGCTATAGTAGCGGTAGATCTTAATAATAAGACTGCTTCAGTGTCAGTAACTTCAAACTAACAAAGCGCGGGAAAATAACCAACACCGAAGTGCCTTCGCAAGGATAGATATATTCTGAACTTTATTGAAATTGTTTCTTTCGTTTATTAACACTATTATTCACATGTTTGGTATCATATTAATTATCTATATTATCACATATTATATTAATTCCCTGCCAGGAGTTATTCAAGACAGCGTTTTAATCTGATACATATGCTCTGGAGAGCAAATAAAATGTAAAAGAAGATACCCCACAGCACAATATTTGGCAGTTTTATCATCGTAAAAATTTTGTTGTGTAGTTATTTACCAATGATTGCTTGTTAACTTGACCAAAAGTCTGCATTTAAAGTCATGTTTATCTCTTTGGCAATACTTTATGCATAACTAATCGTATTGTTTATTGAAATATAGAAATACTTCAGCACATAATATACGAACTGGTAATATGTTTTGCATGTTCATGGTTGAGTACTTTTCAACAGTCACGTGGCAAAATTTTCACAAAATATTTATATTGATTAATCACTACTATTCTGTATACACTACAAACGCATTACATGTGCAACGTATTTTGCTTCACGAGTATATATATATATATATATAAAGACCTGCGTTCATATTTTGCCAGACTGCATCATAGAAATAGCTTTCAGGTATTATTTTGTTGAAATGGACAATCAGTCATTGATTTTTCAATCAATGCACGACTTCCACGTTATTTTTTTAAGCGGTTTAGGTTTTATTATTCATATTGGATTCTTATTGTTTGAAGCTTACATATTCGACGACGACAATTTCAAGTACCTGAAAATACGTGTTTGAGTATTGCTACAATTACAACGCATTTAGGTGATGAAATATATTCCCTGGACGAGTGTCAGTCTTCCGACGAAACAACAAACTCACAAAAATGTGGCGTCAATGTTGTCTACCAGAGATTCAACGATTGTTCTGTTATCCTGATAAGCAAACCATGCATGGAAACTAAACTGTGACTTATGAATGGAAAATAAGTCATTATGTTGACCAACCTGGTGAAGATCCGCTGGTGAAGACAGAGGACTTTTTATGAGTTGCCTTCTAATGTTTAATATATTTGCCATTCGTTTCCAGGTATTTTCATTTCTCAGTGAAAGCATGAGTCACAGCCATAAGCACTCACTCAAAACTATAGAATGAGCCCATGTGTGAAATTGTAGATATATTCTAATATCTATGTCATAAGTCAATCTACATGAAGGTTCATTTCGTAAATTTGCTGGCGGATTGTTGGATTAGGAAGTGGGATATCTGGGATGGACAAGAATAAAACTTATCAGAACTTCTTCGTGTTACATTTAAAACATTATCCGTACATCTAGTGAGATGACTGTTAGTTTTGATACGTGTTTTTGTTACTGATAAAATTCAAACAGGCAGTTGCAAATTTGGCTTGCGTGTCCATATTGGCATCTTGACATTAGTCTGAAGTTAGTAGTAGTGTGAAGACATATTCCAATAATAAAAATATGATAAGAAATGGACAATTCGGTACATGTATCGCGATATTTAATGAGTCATTTGTCAGATTCATTGACCACTTTTGAGCTTTTGGTTAAAAATACTGTTTGAAGGGATATCCAAGTCAGACAATTTTTTTATATAATCGACATATATGTTAGCATGTCCTTTGACATAGTGAGAGTATGAAGTTTTTGCATCATCGTATGCGACTAAATTACAAATATCGATATCTGAAAGGTTATTTATGAATTCTGAATAAACAACACAAGCTTGAGAATGTAACCACGGAAAACGCGAAAATAGGCATGAAAAGTTAGTGGCTGTTTAGAGCAACTTTAATGTAACTTATCCACACGGGAATCCTATAGGAGATATTCCCGTGTTTATAGTGTTTCGCGGAACTTTTACTTCGCAAACATATTTGATACCTTACAATTAATTAAGAGTTATCTGATAAGTTGGTAGAGCTGTTTTATTAGTAACTGACTGATTCGCAAACTTCATTCCTCGAAGAGTAGGCTACTAATTATGAAACTAACTTTGGAAGTTTATCCATAAGTCCAGCCCAACCCAGCGTTAGTGGTACAGGCTATTTATTACCAAACTTTCTTCCCTGTCACTGATCATGTGACTTCGTTCATGCCGCAATTTTGGACGACAAAAAAGTTAATTGAGCCTGAGCCGTCCTCTCCTGACAGTTGCAGGCCATATTATTGATTCTTTTTTGCTTGACTGTTTAATAATGATATTTCTTGTGGTTCATGGGTTTTCGAAAGATTCTGAACGTCATACAATGTTGAAATAATCTATAAGGTGTAGGACTGTAGGCATTGGTGTCACGGCGATTTCTCTCGCGCTTGCGAACAGTTCTTCGTTGGTGGTGATATTCATAATTCATCATTTTTAGGGATAATTATATGATAAACTACTGTTATTGGTGGACCTTCTTGCGTTTCTGCTTATCTTGTGTAAGAAACTAATCGTCGATGATCTAATGGTAATATACAGAATTTTCGCCCCACGGAATTTTGTGACCACTAGGTGACATACGACGGTTTGATTTGTGATTTTTAGACGCATTGGGAGTTGCTTAAATTAATACGGTCTTGTGGTCGGAGTCCGTGAAACCAGAAATCTTTATACGGTTTACAGACTTAAAATAGGAATTAGGAATTATCAAACGACAAAATTTAGTTGATTTCATTAATTATTCCTTGATTTCAATAAGAATATTTTTTCAAAGCTTGTTATGCTATCAACCCAAATGCAGGGCAAAAGCTGTTTCTCTAATAATATAGTAAATTAAATATTGTTATTTCAACAAACGCATTGCCTAATCGAGTTGAGAAATATTTTATTCTCAGGTAAGCGTCCGCCGGAATAAGAAGTTTACAATGCTGTTCCAAACAATCCCGTAGGAAAAGCGGCTATCATATACGACGTACGCTGCATTATTTCTATATAAATTTAACCAGTATAAATGGGGACACAGAATGCGGTGAAAATAATTGAATTATCGACAAATCGCTTTTTTACTTTTCATCAAATCTGCAGAGAAATTGCATATATATATATATATATATTGATTTATCGGTACTCCTGAGGTATGCGCACCAAGATGCCGCACAACCTGAACCCTAACCTGGTACACAACCTGAGTTCAGGTTGTGCGCCATCTTGGTGCGCATACTTCAGGAGGTCCGATTTATTTTCCGGCTTCAACTGCGTCTTTAAAATATGTCGTTGTCAAATTTATTGTTGTTCATGTTTGGTAAATTCACTTCTTGGCAGTATCAGGTTCAGGTAATATTGGGGTTCTCCAACGGTAATTTTACGCTTCGATACCGTAACGATTTTTGTACTTTCGTTTATTTTTTATGATCTATACGTCATGTGAACAATATTTCTTTGTTATGAACTGTAAATTCTATATCTTTTATCTGACTAACTAAGCAGGCGCTGAATAGAGTACTGTGTTGAACATATTATAAATATGTTTGCTTTCTCTAACGAAAGAATACCTTCAAATTGTTGGTAAGATTGAGCAGGCATCATAAAGTATCTGCTCCAACAGATATAAAACTGTGTAAATAACAACATTGATAATTTTTCCATTGTTAAATGGACTATTGCTTGAACATCTGTAGTAAACAAAGGAAAGGCGAAATTTAATGCAAATTATCATTGGACACTTTGTATTTTGGTTAATTAAAGAAGCATTGTGAAGTTGATTGTAATGATTTCTGGGATAGATAAGTTTGCTGACAATATGTTGTCATTTTTGATAAAACGATTATTTGTAAAGGTAATCTATGTCCGAAATAAATACAAGAGGGCAATCCTCAAATATACGGACATAAAAGTCAAATGGAACGTTGAAATGACCCTATTTTCGACGATAACTCGACCATTTAATGCAGGGCTGTGCAATTATTTTTGCCATAAGGCCACACTGCAAATTCGAAATGCAGTGGCAGGCCGGTCTGAGTAAAGTCAATCTACGTTGCGCGTTTCAGCCTGACCAGCCTAGCGATATCTCGATGTGTGAGCACGCGATTCAATGCACGGCTTGTCAAAACTATACGAGCAAAAATAAGCGCTGAGCATTTTTACAAAGTTGATTGCATTTAGCAGCAGGTACAGTTTTCTTAGGAGAGGCCCAAATGGTAAAATGGAAAAGATTTCAAGGTCGAACAATTGAGTTGGGATTTTGAAAATCAATCACGCTATGAACTGTCCAGGCTTTTTCATATATCCTGTTAGCTTTTTACATCTACATTTAATTTTTTTTTTTAATTTTTGCTTTTGTGAAAATGGGGAGGGGGGTCTCCAAAATCGGATTTCGTGGTATAAAAACTTCTCCATAACACAGTCTGATGCTATTATTAGTGTTTTTGATATTTCAGATATGCATATCTTGTATTCTATGTGGGAACTCTTGAAAAAAGTAATACAACTATTTTGAACAACTTTTTGAGATTAGAATGACTTAAAATTATCAAATAAACGAAGGTGACAGTGGAATTCTCCAGATAGGTCACGATCACCAAGCAACAAAAAAGTCATCAAGACGGATTTTTTATTCCAGAAAGAATAAATGTTGCTTCTGTCACATTTTAAATATTATTTTTCAAATGGTGTTTAGGGTTCTGGTATGGTAAAATTTCTGATGGATCAGCAAGGTGAATTTACTAAACCCGAATGATGATTTTGCCACTAGGATAGTGGAGAAACACAGTTTCCCACTATAACAGTCTTAAATGACTGAAAAGAGCTGAATTTTGTATGTAGTAAAGGCGTCACCGAATGGGACTCTACATCTGTCCTAGCTGAATATTGATGACAATGTTGCATCTGCAACTTGCCCTTTGTAGACACTATCGTCGCATAATTGGATCGTGAACATCCAATGACAGTATAAGTACAGCAATGATGACTGCCTGTGGGAGCCTATTCCTAAAATCGACTTCAACAATAGATCGAAATAATCATTTTTTTGTTCTATTTTGAGCTTTTTTAGTCGCTACAACGTTATTCAAAATGGGTTTGTATCAATTTCTTCAAGATTTTTCATAGAAACACGAAACGCATCTCTGAAATAGAAAAAACACAAACAAATAGCACCAGATTAAGTTGTAAGGTAAGCGTTACGTTGTTGTACATCCCAAAACCAGATAAAATTTCCGGTGTCGACATATTATCGATTTACCCGTTTTTTGACTGCAATAATCTTTAATTTTCAACATACGCACCATGCTTCATTTTACAATTTTTTGGCCTATAACTTCACTCGAAAATTGATGTGCATGTGAACCACAAGCCAGACGTTAAATGTTATAAAACAATATTTGCGATCAAATATTGTTTACAATTAATTTGAATGCTTTCACCACAGGTCTTCTCCAAAATACCAAGGTATATCGCAAAACAAGGCGATGCAAAATGCAAAACATTTATCTTGTAATTCCAAAAGATTACTGATATAATGTCAATTTTCTTCATTTTTGAGGTGTAACTAATCAGAAAATAATAATTAGAAACCAAGAACAAAATGTGTTGCACTGTGTTATTATTGCAATAATAAATTGTACAATCAAAGTATATTTTATATGTAAATAAAAAAAAAGGTCTAAATCTAAAATTCTGCTCGCGGGCCGAATGAAACGTTGCCACGGGTCGTATCTTGCCCTGTCCTGATTTAATGTCAACAGTCACTATTCCGAATGTAGTGACTGTCTCATAAAAACATTGGATATCTCACTTCGAAAATCGCATTGCGAGGTGCAATAGCGTCTTATGATTGTGAGTTCATAGAAATCGACTTGTCTCGTTATTGGACACGAAATAGATCTATAGATCATTTTGCTAAATTATTGTTGTTGCTGTTGTTGAAAATAATGACTTTTTCAGTAACGAATTGGCCATTCGATATCAAATTTTCAGTACTTTAAGATGGAAAAAATCGCTAGGCAATTTACACTCATATTGTCGCCAAATCAAATAACTTTTAATGCTTCCTATACTTCGATAGAAATTTAAAACCTATATATCTTGACTAATGTGTGGCCTCTCCATTCCAAGTTATATAGCAAACATAAAACTGGTGCGCACCAAATAAATGTCTCACACAGTTAATCTGGCGGCAGGTGGATAATAGCTGGCGGAATTATTGATGGAAATAGGGTAACGCCATTCAATCTGATAGTTATAGTCAATCGGCGCATTATACTTATTTCACTAAAGAAAAGCTTTGTTCTGCATGACGAACAGATAATAAAAAATAAATTCTGTACAATATCATCTGACCATTGATGATTAGATTTTTACACAAGATAAGCGGAAACGCAAGTAAGTCCACCAATAACAGTAGTTTATCAGATAGTTTATATTATGAATGATGAATTATAAATATCGCCACCACAAGAGAGATCGCCGTGACACCAATACCTACCCCTTACAGATGTTTTCCACCTTGCAAGCCGTTCAGGGTCTTTTGGAAACCTATGAATCACAATAAATATTAATATTAAACAGTCAAGCAAACAGAAATCGAATAATACGGCTTGA